ATAATTTATTTTACATACTAGACAACGGTATACAGTAAAGCAGCAAATCGAACGCACAGCGTTGAAGAGTTTTGCGATTGGTTCGTGTGTGGCCCTGTGCGTCCACGCGCACTGTGAGACCTCATAGTAATGTTTGTGAATACGGGCGTTAGTCTAATACATATACAAAATAATTGACAACTTTATACATTTTGGTAAGTTTTACTATGTTGGTAAGAACATGTCCTTAACTATTAATTATATTTTACCCAACTTGGAAACTAACATACCGTAACAAGACTCCCAACATTTCCCGGTAATTACCCCTAATTGGGGAAACTTTGGGGCAAAAAGGGCAAATAAAGGATCAAATGTTGTGTGGAAAAATACTTTAACAGATAATTAGGGTGACCTTTAGTTTTGGGTTCCCTTGAGTAAGTACCGGAAAACTTACACTAGTATTCACAAACGATGCTTGCATAAGTGAAGCAGCAACGCTATGCGCACGAACGCTCTGTGATTGGTTTGTTGTGTGTGTCACTCCGCCATTCTAAGTATTGTCTATGTTAGGTTTTGGGACTCTGTTCACGCGTACTGTGAGACCTCATAGTAATGTTTGTGAATACGGGTGTTAGTAGGCAAGCCTCCAACTCGGTGGACTGACGATCTGGTGAAAGTCACGGGCAGAACCACACGTTATGGAAATTCTTGGGGAAAGCTTTTGTCCAGCAGTGGACACAGCATAAGACGGAGAGGAACGGAGCTGGGAAGAGATATGTTTTGAAAAACTAATCAGATTTCATTTCCACATCTTCTTTCCACTCAGTTTCGATGGAAATGGATCGAGCGGAGAGATTCGAGATTTTTTTAAATTACTCGTAGTACAGTGAGCAAGCTAGCGGTTATCTCCGCTGCCCTCCTCTTCTCTCCGCTTTGGTAGAACCCAGGCTTTAGGTTGAAACATCGTTCGTTCGTTTCAGCTGAAAGACGTCCACTGCTGGACAAAGGCCTCCCCCAAGGATTTTCATAACGACCGATCCTGCGCCGCCCGCATCCAGGCACCTCCCGCGACCTTCACCAGATCGTCGGATCTGAGCCAGCAGAATCGCTAAAATTAAGTGGCAGTGAGCGGGGCACATAGCTCCACCAGGAGCCGGAAGACGTAGTGTGGGCAGGCAGACTTCCCAGTGGGTGGTTAAAACAAATTCAAGTCAAATTTCTAGTAACCTACTTCAGAGAAATACGGTCTCTAATTGGATCTTTGATATCCGGATCCATTATACCAAAATAATATTCGTATAATAATAATAAAATAATGTAATCATTTACCTAACAACCTTACATTACCCACGCTCTTGAACCCCGAATAATATAATTTGAATACATTTGTAAACATTTTCTGATATTGTTAACCTCTCTTTTGGTTGCTGATTAATTAGATAAAGCTTGTATTCCACTAATGACGTAGGCGATAGACTATAGTCTAACGCCGTATATTCACAAACATTACTATGAGGTCTCACAGTGCGCGTGGTCGCACAGGGTCACACACGAACCAACCACAGAGCTGTGAGTTCGATGTGCTGCTTCACTTAAGCAAGCATCGTTTGTGAATACAGGTGTACACGTCCATCTTTTTTCTGTACGTAATATAACATTCTAATCTTCAACCAACTTGGTTTTTTGCTCATCATCGTCTGCACTTAAGAGCCATTATCATTACATGAAACACTGGTCCTTCGAGCCGGATATGACTTATTACATTTTGATTTCAATAAACTTTGCGTTGCGCAATCATGTGAAAATGTTAATGGAACGGTCACGTATAGTCATTCCAATTCAGCTATCATCATCATGTCATTTAGTCTCCACTGCAGGAGTACGACCCTCTCTAATTTACCAGAGGCAAATGGAGGAATTGGCGTAACTCCCCAGGTTGTCCAGACGGGTTGGGAAGGCCTGATGTTCGCATGTTTCTCTCTTTTAATCGCCTTCTATTACATCTACGGAACCTACGTGATCTTATACAGCACAATAGCTGGAGTGTTCAGCTGTATTGGAAAGAAATAAGCTTTATTTGGAAATTCTGCAAGGTATGTCAGTTACTATGGCGTGGTCCTCCTCTTTTAGACACCTGTGTACTTACCATGAGTTTACGTTAGGTGTGCTCGCTAGCGAGTAAGTCAAAAATCTATGAAGATTTTGTTTCTTGAAAGAAGCCGCTAGGGGCGCTGCACAATATGTCATACAAATTAATGTCATTTTTTTACGCAGTCGCTAGCGAGCACAACTAACGTAAACTCATGGTAAGCACACTGAATGTCTGCAGCAAAAGAAGGATCTTTGTGGAAATCCTTGGAAGACGCCTTTGTCTAGCAGTGGACGTCACTAGCTAAAACGAACGAAGCGTTGTTCAGCCTTAACCTCGCTTTAGCCTCGTTATCACTGGGACAGCAACCTAATCCCAATCATAAATAATCCAGCTCCGCTTGGGAATGTAATCCTTTAATCCAGGATCAAAGTAAGCCGTTTGAGGTCCATGAGGTTTTACAAAGGTCACAGCCACATGGTAATTTATAATTGATATGATCTCTAACACATAAATTTCTTGTATGACCTTTTAGCTTCATTAATGATTGTCCAGGGTAATCTTGTCAAAACGGGGATTTACTTTGCCCTTTTTAATGATAAATGGATGAAATAATTTTGCTTTGGAAATTATGGTATTTTTTTGTCTTTTGTATTAATTTGTCTGCGCGTGTTAGGTATTTCAAACAAAGCCTGTCACCTGTATTCACAAACGATGCTTGCTTAAGTGAAGCAGCAAATCGAACGCAGAGCGTTGAATTAAATAGAGCTCTGGGATTGGTTCGTGCGTCCATGCGCATTGTGAGACCTCACAGTAATGTTTGTGAATACGGACGTGAGTATCACGCATTTTACCATCTAAATCTTCACTTTTAGACCTTTCTAATTTTTCACTATTTTAATTACTTATGGTAACATCATAAGTATGAACTATCACTTCAAAAATTAAGATTTTCTCAATCTTTCATCCCCTTTCAACGCTTTGTGCCAATGGGTACCTTTATGAGACACAGAGTTATTAGTTCCTATATTTGATGAAGTGTTGGAGCCAACAAATCGAAAAATAGCTGAACCAATAGAGTTTAAAAACCTAATTTGAACTACAACATTATTTCAAAATATCTGCGATTCCTTTGTTGAAACTATTCTGTTTATTTTTCATTTCAACGGAGAAAAATATTTAATATTTCACGAAAATACAAAAGAAATATACGAAAAGCCAAACATTTTTTGCTTATTTAGCATCACCGCGTTCGCCATGCCTCATCGGTAGGGTGAAGCCACTTCCGGTGAGCGCCGGACATAGCCTTAATGGCCGCCGGAAGCTTGGCCGCCGGAAACACGCCCGCCTTCCGGTCTGAACGGTTTTTAGGCTTATCCAGCTAATTGTTTATTAACAGAGCAGCAAAGTTAAGTGAAGGCAGTTATGTTTCGTAACATAGTGAAAAATTTTACTGAAAAGTTCCTGTTTTATTTAAATGTATGTCAGTCTTTCATTTTTCATGAGTAAGTCACTGAATCTAATGGTTTTCACGTACATTTACAAATCCCTCTTTTCTTAATTAAATGAATTAAAGAAGATAATATTTAAACCGTCTTTTCTCTGGATACATAAGAAAGTTTACAAATATTATTATTGCTCTTTAACTATTGTATTTTAAAACTTTTTACCCGACTGCGCCAAAAGGAGGGTTATGTTTTTTACTCAATATCTTTAAGTTATTTTAAGTTCTTTAAAGTTATTAACGAATAATTAATTTGCCTTAGTTTGACTTGACGTATTATTATCTGTACCTTTTTCACACCATTATTTGAAAATAACTATCCGTTTTATTACCAAATCCTGGTCACCCTACAATAAATTCATTTCCTGGCTGATATTATAACTCTCGTATCCTGAAGACTCGTGTTTACCGAGCTTGTGCTTGAATAAAATATAACCATAAAGCTCGCCCATAAGCTCCAGATTATGGTGGAATCTTGTTATGAGAGAGGCTTGCAGATGGGAGCTTAGAGCTTTGGCATACAGATGGCGACAATGTTTTGGGAGACAAATATTTTGCTGCTATTTCTCTGATTTAGTTTAGTTTATCTTTAATCTGGGATAAGCTCAGCTTTCCGTCGTTGTGTTTTTTCCATGGTGGTACAATTTTGAGTCCTTGATTTTCTTTTTTTTAAGAGTAGTCTCGTGTAACTCTGCAACTTGACGGGTTGACTGGGTCTAAACTACTGAATCAAAATCAAAATCAAAAATATTTTATTCAGTTTAGACCAATAATATCTAGACACCTATGAACGTCAAATCTCTGACCTTAGAATTGGCAGTTTGATGCTTCGGACTATTGTCACTTAGAACCTAGATAACTGGAAGTCTAGATTGGTCATAATTGCCAATTCAGGTTTAAAGCTAGGCAGAAGCATTTTTATTCCTGCGGAAGAGGGCTTGATCCCCAAGAAACCCGGGTTTTTGCAGAATCCCGTTTAGTAGTATACTGTTTTAATACGAGTATGAACGTTCACAAGAACACCCCGTGTGCAGTGTCCCACAAAAAAACTGATCCGTTCGAATCTGTAATTTTATTTTCAAACACACACTTGTGTTCACACGACAGTTCAGTTTTACGGGATCCTACATCACTGTGTCCCGCAAAACTGGACTGCCGTGGGTTATAGCGTAACTGAAATTGGATCTTGGTAAAGATTTGGATTTTGAATGAACCTTGTGTGTACCACTTGAGAACCAAATCTAACGCCCATATTTACAAACGATGCTTGCTATGTGAAGCAGCAAATCGAACGAACGTTGAATAGAGCTCTGTGATTGGTTCGTGTGTCACCCTGTGCGTCCACGCGCACTGTGAGACCTCATAGTAATGTTTGTGAATATGGGCGTAAATGGGCTTCGCCAATCTAATGTAACCTTTTGTTCGCAGAGGACGGGGGGCGCTGTCTACCCGCATTCTCCGGCAGAAAGTTCGGCGAGATGTGCAACAGAGACAACCAGTGCGACGCCGGCTTGGTCTGCGAGGAAGTGGTGCCAGGTATGTCAACTTTTTACCAGTAGAGAAAAATAGTTTCCTTGGTTGTGAATCTTGTTTTCCAAGCAGTTTATGATGGCTAAAAGCCACAGTCACACGGGTTCAGCTTTCTGAGTGGACATTTGAAAACTAGGTCCTAAACTATTCTTGTCTTTCTTTCTTTCTTTCTATCTTTCTTCGTTAAAGAAGACCTACTGAAAATTAACGTCGTGACGAAAAGAAAAAGAAAGAATGAGGGTGTTTTGGGACGATAACGAGACTTTAATGTGCTTCAGGTTTTTTTTATGCTCTGGCACGTCATAATTATGTCAATGTCAAGTGCCGCTTCCATATAGATGACCCACGCTGAACTGTCCCGCCAAACTCAATGACAGGGGGGCGCTACCATCGTTCAACTATATGGTTTCCAACATGGCAAAAATCTGAACCAGCGATCCGGTATTGACGGTGGCGCCCCACTGTCAATGTCATCGACAGGACAGTCCAGTATTTTGGAACTATACCTCAGGCGCTCACCAAGTTAAGCGCTCGACCTTTAGTCACAGTAACATTTAAATAAAATCTCTTTCATTTAATGTAAGTACATAATTTTATTTTGTAGTTTACGTCTAAGACTCCCTAGCCCTCAATTACGAAGAAAAAGGTTCTGAAAGTCAATATCATGCCCATTATAAAAGCATTGAACTAAATTGTTTTTGCGAAAGATCCTCCAAGGTATAATGAAACGGGCTCTTCTAAAAAACATTTTCTTTTAATAGCATTTCGATTTTAGGGTTCCGTACCCAAAGGGTAAAAACTGAACCCTATTAGTGAGGCTGAGTTACTCTTAATTTGAGTCTTCCAGTGACTTGGCCCACTTTTTACTTGGTCCATGGGCCAAGTCGCTAATTTGAAGTTTTAAATAGTTTTTCTCCCATAGTGACTGGGCCCACCTTCAATGTTCTATTAATAAATTAAACACCTTATCAACAAAAATCTACTCTAGAATCTCAGAGGTAACCCAGTCACTGGAACCTGTGACTTGGCCCATGGACCAAGCTAAAATTGGGCCAAGTAACTGGAAGACTCCTTAATTCAACTTTAACAAACGTCTATCTATCAAACCACATAAAATAGCGGTTGTAATTAAAGTTACGGTTAAAGTAGATAACTGTTGGTGCAACTCAGCCTACGTCCACCCACAAGGTGGACCACATCTGGTGGATGACATCATAAAGGTAGCAGGAAGGCGCTGGACGCAGGCCGCTACCAACCGGGCAACATGGAAAGCATTGGGGGAGGCCTATGTTCAGCAGTGGACGTCCTATGGCTGAGATGATGATGATGAGGATGATGATGATGATGAACTCAGCCTAAGATTTCACTGTCTATCTGTCTGTCACCAGGCTGATACCTACAAGTTTGTACGAAACCCTCGTTGCGCGATCCGACTCGAACTTCGCCAGTTTTTGCTATTGAAAATCGGGTCCCAAGCACCCTTTTCGCGAAAATACTAAATTACATCGAAAATAAATCGAATCTTTATAGTATTTATTCGGTATATTTCTTTCAATACTTTTCTGAACACAAAGAAAATAATCACTATGAAATACAATAAGTATGACAAAACAAGATAAGAAATATTCCTCTTTATGATTTACCTTTTGTATTTTTATTTACAAAAGGATGTTCGCTATTTGGTGACTATTTATAAGATGTTTTCGTGAAAATAATGATTGCAAAAGTTTTTTGGAGTTGACTTGTTTATTGAAGAAGAAACAAAATATTTTGGTGCAATTGAAAGGCTTAGTCATCAAAATGTCAACTTCTCAAAATGACAACCGGGACGCAAAATGTCCACAAATAATCGAAATATCCGAGATAGACAATATTATTATGAGAAGTTGTCTTTTAGCGAAGTTGACATTTTAAGAAGTTGTAATTTCTTTTTTTTTTTTTTTTTTTTTATGGCAACCAAACCTCTCTAGGAGGTTTATTTCTGCCAATGTCGAGTGAAAATTGACATAGTTATCAATAGAACGTGGGTGTTTCAGTTCTATTGATTTTTCATAGATTCCGTGGAGTTAAGTATGCCCGTAAGCAGGTTTCAAGACGCCACCGGGTCCAAAGCGGGTTGTTCATACGACAACCCACTCGACACTCGATGCGCGCTCAAACTCGAAGTATTTCAATGTTTTTTGTAATTTACCACTTCACTGCACTTTAGAACACAAAATAACACCAAATTTGTACACTAAAGTCCATTAAATAATAAATTGAAACCATTAAAACAGATCGACCATGCTTCCCGTTCAACTACCCTCCACGGAACCTCAAGTTGTAATTTCGAGAAGTGGACATTTTGCATCCCGGTTGTCATTTTGAGAAGTTGTCATTTTAATGACTAAGCCAATTGAAACTCTTATCAGTAGGCCCCTTTTAGGACACTTTATGAAATTGTAAAAGTATCTATTATAAGTTATAGATAGAAAGGGGTAATAAGTATTCTCAGCACCAGCTCATAAATGTTGTCCCGAAGTGGTAGTAAATAGGGCAAGCTATAGGTATTTGGGACGTGTATAAGTGCGCTGGAAAAGGTCTATAAACTAGTTGAATAGTCCAGTAGAATTAGCTTTTAAATCGGAAATAATTCCTACAAAAGATTTTATTGTTTTAATGGCTTCATTGGTTGCCCATTAAGATTCTCCTAAGTTTTCGACTTCGACGGAGTTGTGCTTAAGTGGTGGGGGCCCCCGAAAGGGGCATTTTTTCGGTTTTTCGGTTATACCGCGTAAAGGACTTACCCTATCAAAAAGTGGTCTTCATGACGGCTGAAGGGCACTTAATCCTGCATTGAATAAGACCAAATTCATATGTTTTGGACAAACCGTTCTCGCGCTAAAGTTCGGCAAAGTAGAAAATATACGTATAATTAATGACCCTCTCCACGTCCAATGGCTTGTTACCCACATGCTTCCAAGCCTTGTAAAGGGTCGCCTTAACCAGTGTAACCCTAACAAGGCTCACGAGTTTGATTCGCCTATCCTTGTTCGTCCCAGCCGTTCCTTAACTGCGGTTGCTGCACCTCTTCCTGGCACTCACCTGAACGACTCTGTGTTACCTACTGTGGCTGCCCCTCTTCCTTGTATCCTCCTGCATGACTACGTTGCCTAGCCGTATGCCTGGTCTAAGGTTCGACGCCAAAAATCAACAACAACAAGTTCATATTAAAACGCTGAAGAGTTTTTTGTTTGTTTGTTTGAACGCGCTAATCTTAAGAATTACTAGTTTGATTGAAATCATTATTTTTGTGTTGAATAGCTCATACATTGAGGAAGGCTATAGGATATATACAATCACTCTACGACTAATAGAGGCGAAGCAGTAAAGAAAAATGTTGCAAGCACGGGAAATAGTATTTAAACTATTTTCACTCGTACGAAGTTGATTTTGTGGCGTCGAACCTTGGACCAGGCATATGGCTAAGCAATGAAATCGTACAGGAGGGTACAAGGAAGAGGGGCAGCCACATTAGGTAACACAGAGTCGTTCAGGAGAGTGCCAGGAAGAGGTGCAGCAACCGCAGTTAAGGAACGGCTGGGACGAACAAGGATAAGCGAATCAAACTCGTGAGCCTTGTTAGGGTTACACTGGTTAAGGCGACCCTTTACAAGGCTTGGAAGCATGTGGGTAACAAGCCATTGGACGTGGAGAGGGTCATTAATTATACGTATATTTTCTACTTTGCCGAACTATAGCGCGAGAACGGTTAGTCCAAAACATATGAATTTGGTCTTATTCAATGCAGGATTAAGTGCCCTTTAACCGTCATGAAGACCACTTTTCAATAGGGTAAGTCATTTACGCGGTATAACCGGAAAACCGAAAAAACGCCCCTTTCGGGGGCCCCCACCACTTAAGCACAACTCCGTCGAAGTCGAAAACTTAGGAGAGTCTTAATGGGCAACCAATGAAGCCATTAAAGCAAAAAAATCTTTTGTAGGAATTATTTCCGATTTAATCAATTTTTGTGTTTAATTCTACTGGCCTAGAATTTGAATAGATCTACCTGTGGGCTGAGTGTGGGCTCACTAGTGAGTGCGTTTGAGTAAACTCACTGAACGTCTAGGCTGACGTTTAGACACCGAATTACGAGTATAGTCTACAAAAAAACAACAGACACATTAGTACTAAAAATGCGGGTAGCTGCATAAAGCGTCTCCACGCTATCCCCACCACATTATCTCTCACTCTGTGTCCTGTCGCCAGGCGAGATGCACGTGTGCCGCGCGTCGTCCCCGGGCCGCAAGCGTTCAACGTCCAGCAAGTGTGACGTCACTCTATACAATTATTAGGAATTGACCCACTTGTGCTTTGAATTCAGAAAATTGCTTGTGCTCTTATGAAGCTCTAGGGCCATGGGCATAGGGAGGCGGAGGGAGATGAGAGTGCCCCTCCTCCCTCAGTCACTGGAAGAAAAACTATTTAAAACTTCAAATTAGCGACTTGGCCCGTGGACCAAGCTAAAAGTGGGCCAAGTCATTGGAAGACTCAAATTAAGATGGAATAACTCAGCCTCACTAATAGGGTCCCGTTTTGACCCTTAGGGTACGGAACCCTAAAATCGAAATGCTATTAAAAGAAAATGTTTTTTAGAAGAGGCCGTTTTCTTATACCTTGGAGGATCTTTCGCAAAAACAATTTAGTTCAATGCTTTTATAATGGGCATGATATTGACTTTCAGAACCTTTTCCTTCGTAATTGAGGGCTAGGGAGTCTTAGACGTAAACTACATAATATAATTATGTACTTATATTAAAATGAAAGAGATATTATTTAAATGTCAATTCAGTCAGTACCTGAGGTATGGGAGCGGCACGAGAGGGGTGACATTGACATAATTAAGACGTGACAGAGCATACAAATCTGAAGCACATTAAAGCCCTCAAAACACCATCTTTCTTTCTTTTTCTTTTAGAGCTTTTCAGATGTGTTTAAAAATGGAAATCATAAATTAGGTACCTAGTTCAGTTCAGTTATTCACAGATTATCATAAAGAGAAAATTAGAAATGAAAATCAATATAAATAAAGTACGAGTACCTACGAGTAAAATGTGTTCTAAGGGTATCCAACTCACCTTGAATCTGGCAGAGTTAAATGTGACATAGCCTGTCATGACGCTTATTTTCATTAGGGCTTCGAAATCAGAAAATCGCTTGTGCTCTTATGAAGCTCTAGAGCCATGGGCATAGGGAGGCGGAGGGAGAAGAGAGTGCCCCTCCTCCTGGAAATTGTACAGCCTTACATTGAGGCTGTGCCGCGCCAATCAAGAATGCTCCATTGAAATTTAGAGCGTTCCTGATTAGCGCTCGGTAGGCTTTCGGTACCGCGTAAGCCGAGCTTGCTGATGTCGTATCGCTGCCGCGCCGACAAGTCAGAAAACGGCCATATACTAAAAGTGCGGGTAGTTATTCAAGTTTTTCTCTCCAGGCGAGATGCACGTCTGCCGCGCGCCGTCTCCGGGCCGCAAGCAATACAACGAGGACTGCTCCGCCTCCAGCGAGTGTGACGTCACCCGCGGCCTGTGCTGCATCATGCAGCGCCGCCACCGCCAGAAGCCGAGGAAGGTATGACGTCATTATTATTTATAATAAATAACACTTTATTGACAGTACTTCAGACGTCATTGTTGCAAATTAGCTCTCATTAAACAGCATGGTACCAGAACTGGAATGGAGGCCACGTACTCCCACGAGATGGACCGATGACATCGTAAAGGAAGGCGCTGGACGCAGGCCGCTACCAACCGGGTGACATGGAAAGCATTAGGGGAGGATTATGTTCAGCAATGGAAGTCCTATGGCTGAGATGATGATGATGATGATGAATAATTAAGACTAGTCATATCTGGACCTGGACTTAATACCAATAAACACTCTCTACAATTCAAATATTGTAAAATAAATAAATAAATGATAGACCTCTTTGAATGGCAAGTAACTTAAATAAAAAGAATTTTTTTTAAAGAATCAACTCACAAACAATATTAATGCTATGAACATAGACTTTCTTATTACTTCCAATCTTTTTACTTTTATTGGGACGATAATAATTATTAAACGCCCAAAGAACAATTTTTCATGCGAAACCTGAAACTTTGCTCAATAAATAATTATACAAAAAGAACTCTACTGAATTTTAGTGAATAATTTGGAAGTTTGCTCAAGTTTCTTTGTATTTTTTTGAATCTAATTAACTGCTAGGAGAATTTTTATCCAAATTATTTTTTAGGTTTTGAATAGAAATTAATAAGAAACCTGCGGCTAGAGTTGGACTCTCGTTTTTGTGTTTCTCGGAAATGAAAAACATGGAGTAAAATTACTTTTGTTAAGGATACTAATATTATAAAGCTGAAGAGTTTGTTTGCTTGAACGCGCTTACCTCATAAACTACTGGTCCTGTTTGACATTTTTTTTGTGTTGGATAGCCCATTTATCAAGGAAGGCTAGGCTTTTATAAATCACCTAACAGCCAATAGGGGCGAAGCAGTAAAGAAAAATGTTGCAAAAACCGGAATTATTATTCAAACTATTTTCACGCGAACGAAGTCGCGTTCTACATCACCGTTTATTTAGAGCTGATTTTTCAATCGTCAAATATCTTTTAACTAAAGAATAACCTTGTCATTTTGACATATTTCCCATATTAAAACTGTCAATGTGTGGTTTTGTTCCCCAGTCAACGATGCATATGATGTCGTGCCCTGCGTGCCCAAACAACTGCACGCAGGAAGATTTAATGAAGGCTACTGACAACGCCACTCTTGTGGCGGAGTTCTGTGCTGACGCTGTGTAGGTTTGTTGTCGACACGACAAGAAGAAGACTGTCAATGTGCCAAACTTATTCTTCAGTTAAAAGTTATCCGACGATTGAAAAATCTGCCCTTAGTTTAGTTTAGTCTTATGACAATTTAACCTTTCTTTCCCTTCAGAGTTGCGGATACTTCAAGGAGCCCCTGGTTTGCATCGGTCCCGTAGCCTTGGACCAAGTCCGCGACTCCCCCCAACACACCGCCGGTGAGAAGAGGGTTGGCCTCTTCCGTCTCCACTAAACACCGACTACCCCGTAAACTGAGCAGGCTTGAGCTAAGTTTAATTTAAGTTTAATGAAGTTTTTTTAATGTAATGGGTTGGAGTTAATGGGGGAGAGGAAGGAAATAACAGGCGACGATTGAGCCAGCTGGATACTAATTCCAAAATATTCAAATTAATTTTATTTTAAGTTTAAGGAAACATTTTTTATGTGAAATTAATTTGAGAGTTGAGATATTTTTTTGTCATTTTATTTTTATTTTTTTGTATGTAAATTTTTTATTAAATTAATTGAGAGATACTTGTGTTTATTTACTTCTTTTTGTATTGTAAATTATCTCAATCTTGCTTAGTTTACGTGTTTAAGAAAACTGTTTTATTGATAGAAAATTGTACCTAATTTGATCACGTACGAATTTTTATCAATGAAAATAAAAGGAAAAAATGTTAAAAGATATAAATTACTGACAACGTCGTTATTTGCTTGAAGTTACAATTATTATAACGGGCTTTTAACATTTTTTCTTATTGTTTGATTTAATGCTTCTTGAATCAAAGATAAAACTTTATCACGTGTGTTTAAGATTTATATTTGAATGAAAAATAAGGAATGTCAAAAAATCTTGAGAGAATTTGAGAGTTTCAAAAAGCATTGAATCAAAAATAAAAAAGCGAAAAAAATACAATGGTCATTTGCTTTCGAAAACGGTCAACCGATTAGCAAATTTTTTTTTATAAGGAAAGCTACACGAAAAAATAACAAAAAGATGTAATAGCAAAGTGAGACATATCATTTTTAGTTTATACTTTAATATTACCGTACGTAGTTTTTAGATTATTAATAATAAATGTTTAAATTAATCCGTACTTATGAAAGTTAATATTAATATTTATCGTGACGTTCCGAGTCGCATCTTATTATTAGAAAATTTAATGTGTTTAATCTTTAACATTAAATTAAAATTATGAATAGAATTAATATAAAATAAAATATTAAGTCTTTAAAGATTGAAACAAATACATATCCCACTGGCTGAGGCATTTATATAGTTTTTAATAATATTGATGTTAAATTTACTGTATTTAAAATTAATCATAATGAAGCATATCATACTCTAGTCTTAAGCTATCTTTGGTGTAAGTGTAAAATAATTTTAATTTTGGCTTATTATTTTCTAAATTAGGTAAAACTCAAGCATACTATGCTAGGTGCCTAGGTAAAACATATCATTAAATTAAAAAAAAACTTTTTTCATTTTATTAAAACTATCTTATAACTATCTTATAACACACCTTCATTATTTTATTTGTTACATATTGTTAGCCTAAGAACTGTGATGATTAAATATTTTCTGATAATATATCTATTTAAATGAAAAACATATTTTTCTGCCAAAAATTCTTACCGTTAAAGATATATGATATCTTCTTTGAAATCTTTTCTAATATTTGTATCCGTAGTTATTTTTTTCATATGGAGGCCTAAATTTAGAATTTGGCTTGATAGAATACATAGTCGCGAGATTTTGCCGATACTGTAACCACTATGTTGTTAGTTGATATATAAATACCATGTTGTACGTACGATGTAACTTGTGTATTAATATGTGTTAATTATATAAATTATGTCAGCAATGTAGTTATTATTTCCACTTCCCGCACCTAAAGGAATATTTTACTATTCCTACCTCTCGTTCCCACCACTGCAACTCCTGTGTAACCACAATCTACAGCTTGACCGCCAATAAAAACCCAACCAGTGAAGGCCACCCAAATCATTGTCATCTTACAATTTATGGTTCTTTATAGTTGGTCACTATATTATTATGTTTTATTTTTCTTTCACTTAAGTATTTCCTTGACAAATAAAATTAAATATTAGTGAGTTCAGTTTTATGATAGAACTCTAAACTTGTTAAACTTTTTTTGAACCACAACTTCTTAGTTAAAAAAGTTCCTCTTCTCTTCCTCTTCCTTACACATTTAATCCAAATATCGTCAAAAGTAACACAAAATTACATCTTTTGATTTTTATATTAACTTACAAGTTTAATAACTTGAAAATTACAAACATCAACCTACATCAAAACGTCAAACTCCATTGAATTTAGAACTTCATAAATCACTCAAAGTTTAAAATAATTAAGAAAATTTGAAATACTGAGAAAACTTTACAATAAGTAGCCATTTAGTAAACAAACCTTAAAAAGAACTAAGTTTCAATATTGATAGTTTGAAATATTGAGAATACTGTACAATAGAGTCACTAAAACACACCTTAAAAATAACTACAAGTAACTTGATACCACTTAAAACTCTGTCAATTACATTAATTAACGCATCACCCATAGAAGATATACGGAGGTGGCGGGTAAAACGGGGGTGGTGGTGGTGGGAAGAATAGGGGAGGCGGTGGGGGTCTGTAGAACCCCCCAAAACCACCACCCCATCCACCAAAGCCGCCAAAACCACCGGGCCCGAAGTGTCCACAGATTGTCTGAAACAAAATTAAGTTTACTAAATATTAAACAATAATAAATAATATGTTATGTAATATGGGCTAAAATCTGTGTCATTGAACCAATAAATAAATTTGAAGTTGACGCTTCGTGGCCACCACTAAGCAAACTTGGCGGCGCACTGTAGCAGACGAGGCGAAGAAGATCGGCAAGACTTGGAGCGAGATCAAACGCGAAGCTCAAGACCGAACGCGATGGAGGACTGTTGTGGACGCCCTCTGTCCCATCTAGGGGACATACTTAGGAGGACCTTAAGTCAAGTCAAGTCTTCATGGTGGAATAGGACCACTCCTGATCTTCCCGTGGATGTCGTAAGCGACTAAGGGACAAATATGCGAACATCAGGCCTCCCCAACCCGTCTGGCCAGCGTGGGGAGTGTAGGCCATATCCTCCATTTGCCTCTGGTAAATTAGAGGGTCGTGCTCCTGCAGTGGATACTAAATGCCCCGATGATGAAGTATTATATAGAACTAGCTTTCCGCCCGCGGCTTCGCCCGCGTGGAATTTTGTCTGTCACAGAAAAACTTTATCGCGCGCGTCGTTGTTTCAAAAACCGGGATAAAAACTATCCTATGTTCTTTCCCGGGACTCAAACTATCTCTATGCCAAATTTCATCAAAATCGGTTGCGAGGTTTAAGCGGGAAAGCGTAACAGACAGACAGACAGACAGACAGACAGACAGACAGACAGAGTTACTTTCGCATTTATAATATTAGTTGGGATTGTAGAGACTATTCACCATTCTCTGATTAAATACCCAAGCTTATTCTCGATAAACTGAAACTTCTAATTTCCAGATAATTATCTAATCTGGCAAAAATAGCTAACACTGTAAAGCTTCTTCAAAATCCTTCTAATTTTTTTAGCGTCATGTAGTTGACAAAGTGACTGACATAGCCCGCAGAATTGCTAAAATCAAGTGGCAATGGGCGGGAACATAGCTCGCAGAGCTGATGGCCGCTGGAGCATAAAAGTTCTCAAATGACGACCACGAGCCGGAAGACGTAGTGTGGACTACATCTATTCGTACAAACTTTCATTTACAATATTAGAAACTTACCTGAGCTAAACAAAATAGCGTCACCAATATCACAACAAATCTTTTGAATGTGTCCATTTTGTAAAAATATGTTATCGTTTCAATCTTCCGATATCCAATAAACAATATTATGGAATACTTCTGTCTTTATACATGACAATATTAGAATCAACACAACAATCTGAGATATTTATTTTCAATTCTATGTCCTCAATGTTTAGAGTGCAAAATCCTTTTTTCTTAGGCTCGGAAAATACAGTACACTCATTGTGTAATTAACAAACGCTTGTCAATTATTGGCCGATGAAACGTCATGGCAAATAATGGAGTCATCTTAAGGGCATCGGGGTTCAAGGCCCAAAATGCTGAATTTTTAATGATAATTAACTTATTGTAAGATCATAACGCCTAAAATTCATTGTGGAATGCCCGCATACGCAGGACTAATATTCTCACCTCTCGTTCCCAACGCCGCAACTCCTGTGTAGCCAGGATCTACAGCTTGACCGCCAACAACCCCACCAGTGAAGGTCAAGTTTGTCCCGGGGGAAAGTTAAACTGTCATTGGACCTGCAACGAAATTAATCAGAAGAACATAGGAGGAGTTCGAAGTTAGGGTTCGACTTCCCTCCAGCTATAGCTTGCAACTCCTGGGTAGCCAGGATCTACAGCTTGCAGTGGACCAATTTTGGTTGAAATTAACCGCCTCTGTGGTCTAGTGGTAAGACCACCTGCTTCAGACGCAGAGGTCCCGGGTTCGATTTCCATTGGGGGCAGATTTTTCTGTTCGGTTTGGTTGGTGTAGGGCCTGGCTAGCGGCTAGCTACCACCATCTTACCTAAGTCTGTCGCCATAACAACAATGAACAGCATTGTTGTGTTCCGGCAGTTAGAGGTAAGATAGCCAGTTCCTCCGTGGTTGAGGATTCCGGGTGAAACTCGCTTCCACCTGGCCTGATCATCACTTACCATCAGGTGATATACAGGTCAAGGGCTTCCTCGTTGTGGATAAAAAAAAATTGTAGTAGTTCTTAGTAGTAAAGAATTAGCAGATAGTAGATAAGTCTTAATACTTTCTTCTTTTTTTTCTCTTTATTTGGGACAACAAACAGTTACATTGAGGGCTTAGGTACTAAATCTTAATAATTTGAAAATTTTGTAACAATGCAACCAGCACCATTGTCCACAGATAGGATCTAAGGTAGTAAATTGCAGAGCTTCAACAAAATTAACCTATTACTTAATGTGTAAATGATGTTATGTTTCTTCATGTTTTTTACAGTTTTACACATGTTGATCCCAAAAATAAATCAAAAGAAATGTTTATGCTCAAAATAATTGAATCGCGTTATTCGCGTTACTATCGCAAAGTAAAAATTTAGTCAGAACTGGCCCATTTATTGTCCCGAAGCAGTGGTAGGGTTAATACTGGGACGTTTAAAAGTGCTTTTTAAAAGCCTACTTGCATAAATAAATTAGTTTTATGAGTTTTTATATAGTCTTATTTTGTTAGTAGGTAGCTATTTATGAATAAAAACTATCAATGCGACAAATACTTCGTATATTATTGTTGTCTCTAGAAAAATAATACAGGGTGTTTGGCGCATCGTGTGCCAAAATGATTTGGTGGATAGAATGGGTCATTTCCTATATTTTCAGCCCCCATAACACGTTCCATGCCAGGCGGCTACTTTTATATTAATTTTTTTAGTAATTTCACCAAAATACCCAAATCGCATCATTTAATTTCGATTTAAAAAAAAAACTACTAGGCGTAGCCTCAAAGTAAATGTTTTGTTTTGACGTGCATTGATGTAGGGTTGCATCAAATCTTAATTTACTGACAAATATCATCTAGTTTTTTTTAAATTCAGCTTTGAAGTTTTCCGAAAAGTTAAAAATGGACTGAACATTTAAGTTTAAAGATTAGTATACCGTTTGAATGGGGATAGACTAGAGAAGTTTTGATAAAATCCGAAGATCGCTATCTCTTTTATTTATTTTTTTATAGCTATGTAAACTTAAATGTTCAGTCCATTTTTAACTTTTCGGAAAACTTCAAAGCTGAATTTAAAAAAAACTAGATGCTATTTGTCAGTAAATTAAGATTTGATGCAACCCTACATCAATGCACGTCAAAACAAAATATTTACTTTGAGGCTACGCCTAGTAGTTTTTTTTTAAATAGAAATTAAATGATGCGATTTGGGTATTTTGGTGAAATTACTAAAAAAATTAATATAAAAGTAGCCGCCTGGCATGGAACGTGTTATGGGGGCTGAAAATATAGGAAATGACCCATTCTATCCGCCAAATTATTTTGGCACACGATGCGCCAAACACCCTGTATAATTAGAGCTATCATACCAAATAAGCGACGACACGACGTTAAGTATTTACTTACATCGTTAGCAGTTAACAGTTAATCAAATCTAAGGGGTTCCCCTTTCAGACTGAATCAATGATTTATTGTTTTTCCGTATTTCAGAGGACATCAGTCTAAGAGTAGGCGCACACCGTAGATTTTTAGTTGGCCGATAGTTGTGCCCGATTTTAATTTGTATGAAGAATCGGCCAAATCGAATCGGCGTAGTGTGCGCACTCCACAGATCACCTCTTTGGCGCACTTCCATACATGCCCATACTGATCAACTGCCCGACTAGCGCGACTAAACTATCGGCCGACGAAAAATCAACGGTGTGCGCCTACTCTAAGGTGAAGATTTTGTTTGTTTGTTTGCTTGACGCGCTAATCTCAGGAACAAATTAATTATTTTTGTGTTGGACAGCCCATTAATCAAGAAAGGCTTCAGTGGGCTGAGTGTGAGTTTACATCAAACGCGCTCACTAGTTTAAAAAATGTATAAAAATTTTAGTTTTTGAACGTTTCCCGCTAGGGGCGCTGTACAATCCGTCATACGATAAATGTCATTTTTTGACGCGCTCACTAGTGAGCGCGTTTGATGAAAACTTACACTTAGGCCTTCGCTATAACATCGCCCTACAGCCTATAGGAGTCGAGCAGTAAAGAAAAATGATGCAATTTCACGCGTTCAACATTTACAAGAAAAATTTTTTGGTGGGATTATTACTAAAACAAAAAAACACGCGAATATTATTTAAAAATGTATAATTATCAGTGATGCATTACGCTTAGAACTATGACGTTATCCCAACGTTTAGTTTTAGCGCCAATCGTTTTGGCGCTCACTTTCGCGTTTCACCAGGGTGCGCCACTCTAGAGTAGGGTCATGTCAAGTCCAGTGGTGCCAACTATTAAGTACAACCGGAATCTGGATCGAGTTAACTGCGCACTGGCAGCCGTGACGTCACATCGACGCTCTGGTGAATGGGACGAACGCCGAGGTGTGCGGGTGAGTGCGAGGGAGAGTCACATTCCAGCAAGATGCGCAGTTAGCTCGATCGGATTGTATAAATAAAACGACTAGCGGCCACCCGCGACATCGTATGGGTGCATCCCGTTTTACCCCCTTAGGGGTGGAGTTTCTTAAAATCCTTTCTTAGCGGATGCCTACGTCATAACATCTAGTTGCATGCCAAATTTCAGCCCGATCCATCCAGTGGTTTGGGCTGTGCGTTGATAGATCACTATGTCAGTCAGTCAGTCAGTCAGTCAGTCAGTCATTCAGTCAGCCAGTCACCTATGAGTTATATAATTATAAATTATATTTAGATAGCCCTCATTAGTCTAATCTATAAATCCATCGTGCCACAGCGTCTGCAGTTCAGGAGGTCTATTGTAGCCACTCTTCAAGTCAACTGAAGCTGTGATGCCCCCACTGTTCCTTGATATCTGCGGCAACCCCAGGGTTATGGAGAAGGGACCCAAGTGGAGAGTCTGTGCTTGAGTCGTCTGAAACAAAAGAAGGTTCCAACATCAGGCCATTTAGTCTCCACGATGCCTCTGTGGTCTAGTGTTAAAACCACCTGCTTCAGACGCAGAGGTCCCGGGTTCGATTCCCAGTAGGGGCAGATTTTTCTGTTCGGTTTGCTGGGTGGTAGGGCTTGTTCTAAGTCCGCCTGGCTAGCTACCACCATCTTACCTAAGTCTGTTGCCATAACAACAATGTCAACAGCATTGTTGTGTTCCGGCAGTTAGAGGTACGAGTAAGATAGCCAGTTCCTCCGTGGTTGAGGATTCCGGGTGAAGCTCGCTTCCACCTTCGGACTGATCGTCACTTACCATCAGGTGAGATACAGGCCAAGAGCTGCCTCGTTGTGGATAAAAAAAAATGCTTGCTAATTTAGGCCAGAGGCAAATGGAGGATTGCGGAGGTGAAGGTCACGGGAAGAACCTGGACTTGGACAGCACAGGACCGGTCGTTATGGAAATCCTTGGGGGAAGTCTTTATCCAGTGAACATATTTGGCCTCTCTACGCAATTATTCCAATAATATTGAATTCTGTCTTACCTCCAACAAAGAACATAAAACCACCAAAACTACTAGAAACTTAATAATATCTTTCATTTTGAAACTAAATTAGGTGTTTTCTTTGTGTTGTTCGTTTAATAATTGGAAATTTAATGAAACAATTCCAATATTTCTGTTTAAATATATCCATATTTTTTGCAGCCTTTCTTATCGATTTAGGTATCTTTTTAAATTTAAAATGTCACAAGTATGATTCTTTTAAGATGTCTTAATTTATTTATTTTATTTTGTAGATGTGTGTAACAACGCGACATGCAAAAGGTTAGTGGTGTCCAACTGAAGGTCGATTTCTGGCCGAAATCGAAGCCAAAGTATTCGGCCAATACACAAATTCGGCCGAAACATCACAAAATCGAAGAAATGCGTTTCAAAATGGGCCACAATTATTAAATATTGTTTTAAATCTGCCTTAAATCGACTTCACTCTTAAAAACCTTAAGAAACTCAGTCCGAGATGGCCAAAGTTCAAGTCCAAGACACAAATTACTTTTTTTTTTACAACTTCCGCAAAACATTTTTGCCGAAGCGTTTTTTTTTTGCAATATAGCCGAAAACGTAGCCGAAGCTGACCCAACACAAAATCTGAAAAATGGAGGACTTTCAATTTGACAAACTTTTTTTTCAGACCTTTCGTTTTTGCGAATATACCTGTCTGTCTG